ATTTGTTGAAGAGCTGGTTTGGTGGTGCTGAATTCTCTCAGCTTTTGCTTGTCTGTAAAGCTTTTGAGTTCTCCTTCATATCTGAATGAGATCCTTGCTGGGTAGAGTAATCTAGGTTGTAGGTTATTCTCTTTCATTACTTTAAGTATGTCCTGCCATTCCCTTCTGGCCTGAAGGGTTTCTATTGATAGATCAGCTGTTATCCTTATGGGAATCCCTTTGTGTGTTATTTGTTGTTTCTCCCTTGCTGCTTTTAATATTTGTTCTTTGTGTTTGATCTTTGTTAATTTGATTAATATGTGTCTTGGGGTGTTTCGCCTTGGGTTTATCCTGATTGGGACTCTCTGGGTTTCTTGGACTTGGGTGACTATTTCCTTCCACATTTTAGGGAAGTTTTCAGCTATTATCTCCTTGAGTATTTTCTCATGGCGTTTCTTTTTGTCTTCTTCTTCTGGGACTCCTATGATTCGAATGTTGGAGCGTTTCACCTTGTCCCAGAGGTCCCTGAGGTTGTCCTCATTTCTTTTGATTCTTTTTTTCTTTTTTCCTCTCTGCTTCATTTCAATTTGGAACTTTTAAACATCGCAAGACAAATTGTTTTTCTTTTGTAATTTTAGGTATGTAATGTTTTCTTTAAAAAAAGGATTCTGCTCAATTCTAATTCTCAGAATAGACTTCCTTAAGTGAGAACTATAGGGTAAAAAAGCTACGTAATTAAATGAAGATTCTCTTAAGTTTTGTTTTGCGTCTTCATTCCACATACATTTATATATATAATAAATACTGAGACCCTGTAATGTGCCAGGCACTATAAAGGTGACATGGTTCCTGCTTCCATGGAGTTTACAGACTAATAAAGGAACAGATAGTAATCAAATAATCTCACAATTAAATTTAAATTATAAATTTTCAGTGCTTAGAATAGAGATATGAAGAACTCTAAGAGAATTTATTAAGGGGATTTGATCTAGTCTGGTTTTCAAGGAGGTAATGACTGAAGGAGATCTGTAGAAATGATCAGCTGAAGGAATACATTGGAATCTTTCTTTAAACAGAATAAACTGAGGTCTTTCTGTAAATGGACTGAATGAGGAAAGACCCTTTGCCCAAAGAGGAGAATGTAGAATTCAAGTGCAAAAGCAGTGTATACTGACTTATAGAAGGTGAGAAGTCTGGTATGAAATCAAGCCAGAGATATAGGTCGGCAATACGTCATGAAGGGCTTTGCAGACAGCTATGTGGAGGTCTTGAGATCCTTAATTCATTCATATTTGCAGGTATTATTTGAGTGAGCATGTCTATTATGTATTAGGTACATTTCTCTTACTGCCAGGAACATCTAGTTGAACCAGTCATGAAGCTTGTGCTCCAGTAGTGGTGTAGGCAGAAGGGAAGGGGACAAAAACACATCAATAAGATCATATAGTGAGAAGCACCAAGAGTAAAATAAAGCCAACTCTTGTGTTCATGGTAACTATTGAGCTACTTTAAACTGAATAAAAGGAGAGGACCCAGCTAAGTAGGGGATTTTAATGAAACCTGAATGACAGAAAGGAACCAATCCATGAAAATCTGTGGAAGGAACATTCTAGGCAGAGAAAAGAAATTGTGTAAGGCCCTAAGAGCAGAACATGGTTGGCGAGTTCAGGGAACTGTAAGAAATCATTGGGCTGGGATCTGTGGAATAAGGGTGACAGAGGTACAAAATAAGATCAAAGAGGCATATAGCTCCTATATAGATGTAAAAACATATTACCAAACTAGTAAAATTCAAGTAGCTTTAGTTTTATGTGATAATGTTTTGCTAACATTAAATTAAATGGCCAACACAACCTGTGCGAGAGGGGAGTTTTGGGGAGAATGGATATCTGTATATGTAGAGCTGAATCCCTTTGCTGTTCACCAGAAACTATCACAACATTATTGATTGGCTATATCCCAAAATAAAAAGTTAAAAAAAATTAAAGGACCAACATAAAAGATGATTATGGTACTCATTTTCACTGCTTGGATTCTTTTGCGTCTGTCATACATACACTACTGTGTATGCTGTGATGTCTCAATTCTCCTACCATTTTTTCCTTCTTTTCGAAATTTTACAGGAGTTTTGTGTAATCTGTTATGGTCTCACTTACCTGCATAGAACTTTTCACTAACACAGTGTAAAACACAAATGTGAAAGTGAATTTCATAGCATCATTCTAGTTTATCCAGTCTGTATAGCACAGCTCTAGCGAGTGACATTTCTTTGGTAATTCATGTGGTTTCTTAAGTATTTGAGAGACAATAGTTACTGTATTGCTTTTCACACATAGGAGCAGCATTTTCATACATTATTTGGATACCTAGGTAAGTTTAAAAACCTGACTTTAGCCATAAATAAATATCATTACAAGGTGATTCATCTTGGGGTCAGTGTGGGGTAGGGGAGAGACTCTGACAGAATTTAATAATTCCTCATTCACAACACAGTCAGCTGAAGTAAAACCTAAAAGAGAATCTTGAGGAAGGTATTACCTAATGTTAATACATTGATAACTTTTCATTAGGCCACATGTGCTTTTACTGAAAAAAAATTTTTTTTATATGTACTTTTAAGGTGCTTCTCCTTGGAGCCAGTAACTGTTAAATGTAGCCTAAGTCAAGAAAACTAATAAAATTTGCTCAAATTAAATGAGTTTTTGTTGTTGTTGTCATTTTTGTATTAGAAAGGGAGGCTAGTCATCATGAAATAGTCAAAGCCCAAATTTTAACTAAATTCTAAATTGTTTATTGGAACAGTAAATCTAATGCCTTGATTTTTCTGCCTCCTTTTCCTTCCCCATATTTATACTATCTTTCTCCTCCCCATCTTTACCACCCACCCACCCCCACCCCACACACAAACTTTCCTTAGAGAATTGACCTGATATTGGATTTTTAACGTAAGTATTGACTGGCTGTCCTAAGGGATGGCCAACAGAAGATAGGATACAGAGAGTCTTCTCCCTTTTCTCACCCAGGAACATGTATTAGTCATGAAATAACATATAAATACAATTCTGCTAATGTGTATTTATATATTATTGGTAAGATAAACTAATGAAATAGAAGAAAACTTAAAAAGCAGTCATTGATTTCTCTCCAGATTCTGTTTACTTATTTAAACATCCAATTACTTTTCCAAATAGAAACAGTCAGTTAGATACAAACTAGTCAATGAGCAACACGAAATAGGAAATTTTGTAATACTTTTTAGACACTTATTTTATTTTACTTAATGATAAATGATTTCTGTAAGAAATGCTTAGGAAGAGAATAACAACAACATATTATTATCACTAATGGATATTAGGTTTCTTTTGTCATTATATTTAGCAGTTGGCCAACCTTTTCTTCCACCTTTTATCTCTGAAACTCAGCCATATTCTCTTCTTTGATTCCTATGCAGAGCTCATTACCAGCCAAGTAAGACAGGATTCAAGTAATTGTTTGCCCTGAAATTAGGTAAGTCTACTGTAGAATTTTTTTGTGAAATAGGAACAGTCATGGACATCTGAACTAATAACTTCAAAAGGCTTATAGAATACCAAGAAAATATTTTACAGTTTGACACAAGAAGAAAGTTTCTCCCCAAATTTGTTAATTTTTCAGGTATATTCTTCATGTTCATGGGATAGACAACTGTTAGATAAAGGAAATAATAAGAATCTAATAACACACATTTTAAAGGTAATTTTTTAGAAGGAAGTATCCTTCTAGTACTTTGAAGAAGAGTTGGGATCCATTTATTTTGTGGAAAACATTGAAAATTATAGAAAGTTTTGACTTTATCCTTTGAGCAAAGAGAAGTGAATGAAAGTGTGTTGAAGAAGTGATGATACTAATATCATCCAATCTTTATTTGGGGGGAGTGACTAGTACACTCTGATGAATATATTAGAAGAATAGGTTCTATTGCAGGAGTAGTTAACAATAGCAAAAAATAATTTTAGTGTTTTGAGTGTCAGTGCTTTTATACATTAGGCCTTTGCTACTTACATCTGGATTTATAGATGCAGAAACTAAGGTTTTAGGTGGTTAAAAACAAAAACAAAACTTCAACATCACAAAGCTAGTAAATTGAGGAGCTGAGATCCAAATTCATTTCTCACTTCAGGGCCTGTGTACTTAACCTCTGAATTACATACCAGTGTTGGTTTAAGAAAAAAACAAACAAACTAAAAAGGAGTGAAAAGTGTGGTGGTAGACTTGATGATACATGGAATTGACTGGGAGTAGGAAGTGCAGATTCTAAGATGACTGTGAGGTTTTAAGCCTGAGAGAATAACCGGAAGATTGGAGTTAATTAATCAAAATAGGAAACACTGGAGTGGAACAAGTTTGGGAACATACAGTTTAAGAAACTGTAGGTATATTTGACAGAGATATCTAGCAGTTGGAAATTTGGATCTGAACAATACAGAAAGGACTCAAATTATTATTTTCACTGTGATAATAACTTGGAAGTTCTAAAAACAAAGGTTGAGCTCTCATGCGTAATGAAGTGTGACAAGGCAAAGGCAAAGAACAGGCCTTAATGGGTATTTGGGGGACAGCTGAAAGAGCAATAGTCAATGAAGGAGATAGAAATAATCTAAGGCACAGTAGGGCAAGAAGTAAATTCAGAAATTCTTAAAATTCAAAGAAAAGAATTTCAAGAGGGACAAGGTAGTCCACAGTGTCAAATGTTTCCAAAAGGTATTAATATATGAGAACTGAGAAAAAGGCAATGGAAAATTTGACAGTGAAAAAACTAGTTTGGGTAGAAAGTATTAATAGAAGCAGTGAAGGTAAGAGTTTGTGGGGTGGGTGAATGGATGCAGTTCAGAAGAAGACATGTTTTAGTTTTAGGGAAAGAGCCAAAACTGAAGCAGTAAAGAGATTAACCTTGCAAAGGAATACAGATGCTGCTTCTCTGGCTATAGAATAAAAGAAAACTAACACAACATTGTAATTCAGCTATGCAATAGATAGATAGATAGGGGAGGGAGGAAAGGGGGGCGGAAAGGAGATAGAGAGAAAGGAAGGAAGGAAGAAAAAATAAATTGAGAAGCTTTTCTGTGGTAACAAGAGAAATCTTGGAAATGAATTTCATAAGATCTTGACCTTGGTAAAGTCACCGAGAGGTATAGGAAACAATCCTGGAAAGCTCTGTAGGGAAAAAGTCTGAGTATCTACTAGAAATATGTGAAAATATTTATTTACTGAGCAAACTTCATCTGAAGTTGGATAATGTGAATTCGTATCAGTGTCAGTTAAGACAGTTGTCTTAACTGTTTAAATAGTCCTTGCCTCCTCCTATGATAGGAATTGATGAAGTGGATCAGTAGCAGGGGTTGACAAAAGTGGATCTAGGAGGTCAAGGAACCTGAGACACTAGAGAACATAATTAAAACAAGGCTTATCCTAAGAAGGGAAAAAGGCAAGGAGGATAGGCCTGAATATGCCAAGGGAGAATATTGAAAAAGACTCTGTAACTTCTTTTGGTTACACTCACTCATTAAGAGATCTCAAAGCTGTTCAGCACATGCTTTTAGTAACAGATTTAGTGTACACTCTACTGGTCTCCTTCGTGAAGTCACACTTTGAATGAACCAAGATAGTTTAAACTCACATCTTTTACTGCCAGTTTACTTAAATGAAAATGTGTAATTTATAATGCTGCCTTTCAGTTTTGTGGTGGTGGTGGTTTCTCGAAAAAGATAATTGATGTTAAAGGAAGCTCCCATTGTAGCATCAATGAGCCAAAATAACATTTGTTAATATCTTGTTGATGTGTTCATGTGTGTTTTTTTTATCTTTTTTTAAAAATTATTTTTCTTTATATGTATGTTTTTTGTTGAACTGAATTGGCATTGTTACGAGATAAGCATTTTCTTGTGCCTTTGTAGTTATGTAGGAGATAGTGACAGACAGGGAAGCCTGGCATTCTGCAATCCATGGGGTTGCAAAGAGTTAGACACGACTGAGCGACTGACCAACAACAAAAAACTATTCACTAGAGTCCATCACAACCTGTATTAAGTTCCTTTTCCCCTTCACAACCTGTATTAACCCTTTGGGTAATAACCAATAGATTTGATCTTCTGTCAATCTATTAAATAAGATTTATACCATAAGATAAGTGGAACTTATTTTTACAATTGGATTTTCTTTTCCTGACTAGGCAGCCACCCAATTCTGGATTGCTTTTCTTTCAACTAATGCATTTCAGAGCAGGAGAAAAGTTATCTTTCAAATTCAGTTTAGTTCAGTAGAAAAGGCATACTGTTAATAAAAATGCATAAGTTGTCTTTGAGCTTATCATTTAATGATTTCCTTTTATCTGTATTCAGAGACTGAGTAATGAGACTGTTTAAATATTTGAAAAATAAATTCCACATTAACCAACTTGTCTTGGAAGACAAATGATAATTTCTCAAGATAGCATGATTTTTGGGGGGAAAGAATGTTACCAACAGACCTTACTTGCTTTTTCAGTCTAATTTTGGTACCTATAGAATTCTAAAAGATGTCTTTTCCTTCATTACAGATATAGCCTGAGACATTCTTCTGTGTCTTCCTACATTCAGGAGAAAAACAAATTTCACTCAGCCAAGCCAGTGTTCCTTATCATTTATGTTCTAGATAACACTTGAAGGCAATGTGTGCTGCTGCTGCTGCTAAGTTGCTTCAGTCATGTCCGACTCCATGCGACCCCATAGACAGCAGCCCACCAGGNCATCAGGTGGCCAGAGTATAGGAGCTTCAGCATCAGTCCTTCCAATGAATATTCAGGATTGATTTCCTTTAGGATTGACTGGTTTGATCTCTTTGCAGTCCAAGGGACTCTCAAGACAACACCACAGTTCAAAAGAATTGATTCTTCCATGCTCAGCCTTCTTTATTGCTCAACTTTCACATCCATACTTGACTACTGGAAAAACCATAGCTTTGACTATACGGACCTTTGTTGGCAAAGTAATGTCTCTACTTTTTAATACGCTGTCTAGGTTTGTTATAGTTTTTCTTCTAAGGAGCAAACATCTTTTCATTTTATGGCTGCAGTCACCATCTGCAGTGATTTTGGAGCCCAAGAAAATAGTCTGTCACTGTTTCCATTGTTTCCCCATCTATTCGCCATGAAGTGATGGGACTGGATGCCATGATCTTCGTTTTTTGAATGTTGAGTTTTATGCCAGCTTTTTCACTCTCCTCTTTCACCTTCATCAAGAGGCTCTGTAGTTCCTCTTTGCTTTCTTCCATAAAGGTGATGTCATCTACATTTCTGAGGTTATTGATATTTCTCCTAGCAGTCTTGATTCCAGCGTGTCTTTCATCCAGCCTGGCATTTCTCATGATACACTCTGCATATAAGTTAAATAAGCAGGATGACAGTATACACCCTTGATGTACTCCTGTCCCAATTTTGAACCGGTCTGTTATTCCATGTCTGATTCTAATTGTTGCTTCTTGACCTGCACACAGGTTTCTCAAGAGGCAGGTCAGGTGGTCTGGTATTCCCAGCTCTTTAAGAATTTTCCATAGTTTGTTGTGATCCACACAGTCAAAGGCTTTAGCATAGTTAATGAAGCAAAAGCAATTTTTCTGGAATTCTCTTGCTTTTTCTGTGATCCAGCAGATGTTGGCAGTTTGATGTTAATGTTTATTATTGAGAATATGCTCTAAAATAGCATTTGAGGTGAAGGACTGTTTTCTGACAATACCTAACATAAACATATTGTTGCAATATGAAGGAAATTTTTGCAAAGCAATATAAAGAGGAAGTAAGCTTTCTTCCCGTTACTGCTTTAAATAATGTTTTATCGAATACTTAGGCTTTATGTTGTCTGTTTATTAGTGTCCTGTTGGAGATTGGTGCAGCGGGACATCCAGCCTTTGAATAAACATAAGAACCTTGACAATTTAGTCATCTCTGTGGCTTGAAGATTAAAAATATGTTTTAACACATCTTATTCCTGGATCACTTTCATCAGTGTCATTTCTAAGCTGTACTAAACATTAAATAGTGCTGCCAGCACTTGGAACACAGCCTAGCTGTTAGTCCAGTAGCCCAGCCCAGTGTTCTGGATTTTCATATATTGAGGATGACTCATGTCATCCAAACAGATTCCCACAAGGAAACCAAAATGAGACAAGCTTTTAGTAAGATGAATAGAACCCATTAGAACACAAATTCAAATGATATAGCCAGCCATAGACCTCTAGTGAGAGCTGCTGACCAGCCAGTTTGGAAATTAGCACTTAGACACAGAGGGTCTTTTAATGAGCAATGGCATCAGCCAGCAGTGTGCTGTAAGACCCGGAGCTGTAAAGACTGCAGAAACCGAAACCTCTATAGAAGGTGATAAAAATCAGGCAAATGTGGGAAAGAATGTAAGAGAGTTTTGTTAATGTAAATACCTTTTGATATCTGCACTATGGATAGCATATTTTTGTGATTTTTTTTCTGATTGTAAAATAATATGTGATTACTGTAAATAATTTGGAAACTATACAGATATAATCACCTAACATCTGTTTGGCACATGTCTTTCTAGTCAATACATAGATATTTTTAAAACTCAGTTTCATACTGCACAATGTGTTTTATAACTAAGCATATTTTAATACCCATTCCTAACAAATTTTAAGCATTAAAAATCACTTTAACCTCCTAAAATTGGAGGAGATATTTGAACCAGAGTGACAGATGATTGAAAAGTAAAAGCATTTACATACATATATGTCAACAAATGAGAGCTAAATCAAATAAGAATACAACAAGGGATCAGTGATGGTCAGGTGCAACTGCCGATACTAATCCTAAACCTAGTTGTAAGCATCCTATGGATGCTTTTATAGTACAGACAGCATTCTGCAACTACTTTTAATCCAAGTGATACAACTGATTTGGCACAGTTGCTTGAACAGATCTCCAAACAAATGTTGTTCCTGGCACAGGTTTCTTCTAAGCAGTTCTTTCACACTGCTGATGTTGGATTTTTATCTTCCATTCCCCTATGCATTAAAACCTATCAAACCTGTAATTTATTGCTTTAGAAGTTTAGCTCGTCTTAAAGTATAATGTGTGAGGAGGAGACTTCAGTTAAAGGTAGCAGAGTGAAGAAAGTTTTACTCTTCCCTTTTCCTTTGAAACTCACTAAAAATAAGACAGGAAAATAGAAAAGAAGGAAAATGAGGCATAAGGCTAAGCCCCAAAATACAGACAGTGAAACGATTTGCTAAATACTGTAAAATCTAGACCACATGCAGGAGGATGCTGAACCCTTCCTGGGAATCCCAACCAATATATGATTTCTCTAAAAGTAAGCGTTACAATACTTTAAAGGTCTAACTAGTGATCCCTTTTTGGAGTTGTGACATGTTGTTGTTCATAGCCTCAAATAAATTATTGACGTGACTTGTTATGGAAAATACAGTAACAATTTTTATAAAACCTCACCAACACAAGTGTTAAGAGAAAATAGGACAATAAAAGGAGATGAACTATCCATAGGTGAACTTTGGGAAAGAAGTCTAAGAGAAAAGGAAAAGCATTAGAATTATGAAAATCATATGAGAAATTTTAAGAGACAGTAAATGTAATCAAAGACATGGCTGAAATGCTTGAAGAAATTTAATAACATTAAATAAGAAAATATAAGATATAAAAATTATAGGTGATACAAGAAAATAAAAGAGATCTAATATCTATATGGGATCAACACATTTTTTTCTGTAAAGGGACAGACAGTAAATATTTTAGTCCTTTGTGGTCGGTCAGTACTGTTTCTGTTACAGCCATTTAGCCCTGTGTCTTACAGTGCAAAAGAATATGCTGCCTATGGCTTTGTTCCAGGAAAAAGTTATATTCAAAAACAAGTGGTGGGGCTGTATCTTGCCTGTTCTGTTTGTCAACCTCTAAATAAAAACAACAAATGACTGAAAAAATATTTAAAGGTATAATAGAAAAAAATTCTTCTTGAAATAATCAAAACCTTGAATGAAAATGAGTACCCTTTGGCCTGGAAATAAATAATATAGATGAACTGATATCAAGGCATGTCTTGGTCAAATTATTGAACTTGAAGAATAAAGACAGAATTCTATAGACATCTAGATAGTGAGGTGGGGGACAGAACTTGGACTTGCTTTTTCCTTAATAAGAAACAATGTCAGAAAACAACAGGGGAATGTCTACCATGTCCTGAGGTTTACCTCATACAAGCCAAATACTTTAAGCATGAGTACAACACATAAATGTACTTGAGCATGGAAAAGCTCAACAAACATATACCCATGAGAGCTTTTTAAATCAAATTATATCATATTAAAATATACCGAATTAAAAGGTGAATCAGTGTAAAGAATTCAGGAATAAATCATGAAAAAATTAGTGTAATAATGAGAAATTAAATTAATTTCATTACAGGACTTATATACCTCAGTAGAAGTTACACTTTTAGAATAGATTATAAATTTATAAAATTTGATATTATAAAAATAACAATGAGGTGGGCAAGGGGCATAACAGGAAGTATAAATGTGCTCCTTTCTTCATCTTTCATAGCATCAGTTCAGTTCAGTTGTTCAGTCATGTCCAACTCTTTGCGACCCCATGGACTGCAGCACGCCAGGCCTCTCTGTCCATCACCAACTCCCGGGGTTTACTCAAACTCATGTCCATTGAGTTGGTGATGCCATCCAACTGTCTAATCCTCTGTTGTCCCCTTCTCCTTCTGTCTTCAATCTTTCCCAGCATCAGGGTCTTTTCAGATGAGTCAGTTCTTCACATCAGGTGGCCAAAGTACTGGAGTTTCAGCTTCAGTATCAGTCCTTCTAGTGAATAGTCAGGACTGATTTTCATAGCATGGAATCAATAAATACTCCTTAAAGTTGAACATAGCTAAATTTGCTCTGGGCTCTTAATATTTTTCATAAGTTTTTTCTTAATTCTAGAGGGATCTTTTAGGAATGTCATACGTTGTAGCACTCATTAGCAATTCTTCAGCTTTACATGAGATCCTTTTTCTTCAGGTAATTCAATGAAAACTGTCAACTATTCTAAAAATAATACATAAGAATGTGTTGGAAGGGGCAAAAAATAAGAATGTATTTGGTTGTATAATAGTTTCTAATAGTCATTTAAATAAAAGGAAATTTTCTGTCACTTCCTACATTTTAGTAACTAAAATGTATTCCAGTTGGTATGTGGTTCCAAGTAGCTAATACAGGCTGTAATTATCCTAAACTGAGGCATGACCTGGTGAAGTTATTCAGCTTCATTATAAAATGTCTTCTGAGAAATCAGGCAAATAAGCAAATCCATGAGGAGTTGGTGGCATAATGTCATAATTTAAATAGTTGAATTTAATAATTTGATTAACAGAAGTGTTACACAGCAATTTTATTGCCAGTCTTTTTTCCTACTTCTTTTCATTGCTGTGAATTTATAATTTACTTGTTGGAGTTGGTTTTTATCATACTGCTCCCCTGGCATACACTCTAAAATCAGTTTAATTCAGAAGGATTCAGAAAATAGTTTGTGGATAGTTCTCTCCTTATAACTTCTGTTAAATCTGTTGCCTTGTATATACAGATTTCAAATAAAATAATTATGTAAGTAAGCTTTTACTTTTGAGTGTAGACTCTCCCCGATATGTTTATTTCTTACCCTTCTACCTAGCACTATTTGCATAATACAGTAATAGAACCCTTTGTCCTAGCT